TATATATATATAAGCTCTGGTAGCGTAGTGCCTAAGGCACTTGACTGCTAACTAGAAGGCTGGAGGTTCAAACCCACCAGCCACTCCTCGGAAAAAAGGTTGGGCAATCTACTTCTGTAGTTATACTGCCTCAGAAACCCAAGGAGGGGTCGCTGTGAGTCAGGTCCAACTCAACGGCACATAACAACACAACTATATATATATAACTTAAATTAATTAAATAAAACTTTTTCTTCACAATTTAACTTTTAAAAGTAATATTCCATTTAAAGTGACAGGAAGCTACTGCAGGTGTCTTATCTACTCTTTAACAAGTCTGAAATTCAAGGACAAGTAACGTAAATTTCTCACTTGTTTTGTTGTTTCAGAGTGCTAGCTTCTGATGGAATAAGTAAGAATGTGGGGAAGAAGTAGAAAAGAAGGAGAAAAAATGAGATATTCTTTTTGTCTTGAATTTGTTGATTGAAGCAAGCATATCCACTTAAAAATATCAGCTCTGTGGATGTTTTGTAAGTGAAGCATTTTGTTGTTCCTTGCTCCAAAAAGCAAACCCAATATTGTTTTGTTTCCCTGTGTCTGTGAGGTAGGAATGCACAAGCTTCTTTTTATATCTCAGACACTCAGCACCCCACATCTAGAAACCCAATCATAGCTAAAGAAAAGGTAAGAACCAACTCATTAAATTTCATCTAGATTCTGCTTTGAGGAATGGCCAGATGCTTAGACCTCAGACTTCTACTAAGGCAGCAGCCACAAGGCCCACCAAGGCCTGGATGAATTTGGCCACTCATGTGTTCTCAAAGATATCAGTAATGTCAAGGAAAGAACAATGGACTTGCAGTTAGAGGACTTGAATTTCAATACCAGTTCTGTCATATTGCAACTGAATAACCTTAGGAAAGTCACATAGCTGTTAAGCCTGTTTCCTTATCTATAAATATAAATAAACAGGGATTATAATAAATATATCACAGAAATGTTGAGAGGATAAAATGAAATAACACATGTAATACTGCTGACAACTGCAGTTATTATTTGTAGCTCTTGTTAACTAGGATGTGAAAATGCATACTGGTCTTGTCTGCAAGCCCTTTATTATTTAAATGAAAACATTTCTTAAATGTGCTGGTTCTAGATGTAAACTAATAGAGACCTGAGGACCAGAGGAAAAATAAACACAAGTTATCGTAGGCAAAGAAGAGTTGTAGCTTGGCCAGGGTATAGTGATAGGACCTGGAGAGAGTGAGGACGTAGAAGTTATGGCTGGAAAAATTGTCTCACATCCAAGTCTCCAGGAGACAGAAGAAGGTGGTCCTTACCATTGTTGGCCTGGTGTACAGGGATAGGGACAGACAGCCTTAAGTCTCTGCGTGAATTGAAGAGCATAGAGAAATAGCATCTGCCATTTCTCTCTGTGGCGTTTTCTGGGCATGCCTTGCAAGGGCACCTGCTCATTTGCTTGTATTTAACTAGAAGAAGGAAAGTAAACATCCAAGACACAGCCTAGATGGGACACAGATGTGAGGGCAACCTCAGGTTGACCTCAAAATTTTCATGGCCTCACCAGCTGCTTAGGTCAAAAAAGGATGAAAATCAGAAAGAGATTAGGCAACAAAGCAACATTTTAGGCTTTCCTTCCCTAAGAATCCCACTAAAACCCAATGGCAGTCTAAGACCACCCAAAAGATTCCAATATATGGAGTACCTTCCAAGCAGATCTAAACACTGGTTTCTTGGAAGAAGGTAGTATAAAAGTATATAAAATACTAACACTTTTTAAATTTTTGCTTAGTAGAAGAAATACAAGTCTCTGAAATATGTGACACAGGGAACGGGGGTTTCATTTATAACAGAGTCCACAGTTATAAAAATTCAGTAGGAAGAAAAAAATAAAACTAGGTTGAATCATTAATCAAAGGCTGTGTGTATGGTTTATGCTTTTTGGACTGAATGGTAAGTAAAAAAGTAAGAAAGCATTTTCTTTTTAATGTGTAACTAATATGTTAATAGGAATGTTGCAGTTCAAAATAGCTCCCTCTGAAACAAGAATCATCTAAAATAAAAACTACAAAAACTATAATCACCAAATAAGTAGATTTTACAAAACAAAACATTTCTCTCAGAAAGTTGACTGAAAAAATATGTGAATCGCTTCAGTTTTTATAGTTAAAGCTTTTTAATAACTGGTGCATAACAATAATTTAAAGAATTCTGAGAAATTAGACAAAGGTATTTGGTGGATTTGAGTTAATGGGCCAAGCAAGTTTTTTTTCCTTGGCTTCTCTGTCAAATGAATCATAGATTGAGTCTTTGGTTATAGTTTTGGCTGTGGGAGGGATTTCTGAAATGCCAACATAGTTTTTTTTGGCCATCCTTGAACTGGTTGTGATTGTATAGGCATTACTTCTGTAACATTTCATCGAGGACATGCAAAACGTCTCTTTCATCCCTCTCCTAAAATTGGCATTATAAATTGAATACAGAGTTGGTTTAGAGGCTGAAGAACTAAAGGATATCCAAGTGATAGCTGTGAAAACAAGGGAACTTTTCCTATAGTCCTGTTCATGGGGGTGCCACAGCTGAGCTACATGAAAAGGCAGCCAGGAGAGCAAAAACAATAGATTTAAAATGAGGAACATCTTGATAGTTTTCACTTTTGTCCTTGGGACAATGTTCATTGTCCTTCTCACTGTTCTGCCATCAGTGCCTATTCTCCAAATATACTTTATGACCTTTTGGTAAAATAAGATTATGAGGACAGATGGAATCACAAAGCCCACCAAGAAGTGAATGATGGTATAGGCAGTTCCCTCCCACGAGGAAGGGAGGAAATAATTACAATGATTGTCCCAGCTGGAGCCATAAAAAAAGAACACTGGGGTCACAAAGACTGCATCAAAGATCCACGACGCAGCAATCATTTTCTTGGCTTTTTCTCTGGATACTTTGAAGCTCAAAGGATAGACAATGGTGTAGAACCGGTCTATGCAGATGGAGAGGAGTACATAGATCTGGACACCTGGGGTGAGGTACTGAAAATATCGCACGACCTTGCACACTGCACTCCCAAGTGTCCACCTTCCGGCGGTGAACTGAAACAGGACGAAAGGTGTGCTGGCAATGCTGATGAGAAGATCGGCACATGCCATGGAGACCACAAAGTAGTTGGTGGTAGACTGAGTCCTCCTGCTCCTATGGATGACCAAACAAACCAGGGAATTGCCAAAGACAGAAAACAACCACAAAGTCCCAAAGAAAATGCTTGCTGTGGCCACTTCCCCAGGTTTCAGTCCATACGGCAGATCTGTTCTGTTGCTTTCCCAACTGTGTTCCTCATAGAATTCCACCAGGTCATGGCTTGGAAGAGATGTAGCTGTTTCAGTGCAGCTGTGGTTTTGGAGGGGCACCAGGAGTGTAGGAATAACCAAAGGCAGCTTGCTGTTATCCATTCTGTGAGCAAAAACCATATTCACTTTTTTTCTCTTAGCTCTGGATAAGAAAAGAAGAATGAGGCCTCCTGTTAAAACAGTGTCATATAGGCTAATTCCTAAGGCTATCTTATTTAACACTTGGATTGTTTTCAATTGTCAATGAGTAGGACTTGTGCATTGGTAGGAAAACATGACTGTATCTTATGACTTCTAACCAAAAATGGCTCTGGACCCAGTTTCTCTTTCATTTTAAGAGTTGTTTTAGCTGTTCCCAGCTCAGGTTCTCTTTGGCCTCACCCTTTCTTCAAGAATTTAGTCAAATGTGACAGAACTTATATCAAGCCTTTATTTATTGGGGATCACAAAGGCTTAGGGAGTTCAAATCTGGCTCATGGTGAAGGGTATCACCCCCAATTAAAGAATTTTTGGAATTCTGGACAAGTACATGAGAAGCTCCTGAATGTTACAACACTGAAGTAATGAGGCTGCAAGAGAGGAAAACTTGGGCAGATGGAAACACATATAAGTCAGCTATAGAAATAGTTAACAGGGGTCTGTGAATAGACTAGCTGTCTATGGGGAAGTACCCTGTCTCTCTTGTTGCAGTATTTCCATCACAGAGGCATTATCTTAGCACATGAAGTAATCATCACACTGCTACAGGAATCAGAAGTAGCGCCTAACTTAATGACAGCTGAAAATAACTTGCTTTTTCCAAGAGATGATGTACTAATAGCTTGGCCACCTATCAAAGCATCTATCTTGATGCTATTCTGTTGTTACTGTTTCATAAAATAATGTATTGACTGGAAAACATGCATGGTGTCCTCTAAAGAATATAACCAGGTTATTAGAGCCCTGTGGTGGTCAGATGATTAAAAACAGTAAAACGTAACTGTGAACAGTACACAACAATTTCTTTTAAAAAAAGATATGATCCTTAGATATAAAGGAATATTATACAATTTAGCCTTTATTTTACCCTTTTTTTTTTTTTTTTTGGTTTCATTCAGTGGGGAAAAAAGCAACATTTTTAATAAGCAAAAAGATTGTATAATGTGGGCTAGTTGATTAAAACTGAGGTGGATTTGGTCTGTTAATTAAGATTTAACTTGGCCTGAATATATTAAACAGAAAGAGAAAGCATATTAATTATGGCTATTAATAAATAAGAAACAGGTATTTCCAAAATTGTATCCACTAAAAGTAAAAAGCCCATACAATTTATGGGTTTTTTTATAGCCATTGTATTGTTCAGATGCCACTGTATTGTTCAGATGCCATCATATTTTTCAGATTCCATCTGGCCTATAGCACAAGCTGGTATCAATCCACAACAGGCTCAATAGGTACTACTTTCCCTCTTGGTGGGCTCCTGTAGTTACACAGAGATCCGTTTCTGAGGTGGAATTAAAGAACAGTTCTTAAAGACTCATTATTCCCTTAAAAGTTTTTGCACTCATTTTGATAGGGAAACAACATATATTGTCCTCACGAGAAACCATATCCAACAATCTGGAGCTCAGGGCAAAACATTAAATGCAAGTTCCACATGTTACCTCCAGGCTTTTTGTCCAGGAGACAGCGCTACTTAAGCTCTCAAAAAAAAAAAAAAAAAACAGAAAAACTAAGATAATTAGACATTTTAAGCATGGCTGGCCAACTGATAGCCAATTTAGGAACAGTAGTCACATTTTCCATATGAAAAATCAGGAATATATAGTCTGAAAACAGAAGATCTAAAATTATCGCAGGCTTAGAAAATCTGGAATGTATGACTCTCTTAAAAGTAAACTAATATTCCACTGTCATATGTATAAAACCTACAAAATTCCATGATTGTTTTTAAGATTTAAAGTTTTAAAAAATAAAACAAATAATTTTAAGTTGTTCTGAACTTTTTTGGATGCCTGTGGCTTAAATAAAATAGGAGTTGATGGCACTGGTAGTTTTTTAGTCAATACATATACTTTAAAACTCTTCTGTTTAAAACTTCCTTCTGTTTCTATATTCCTTCCATAGCAAAACTGCAAACGGAACTCCAGTTCACAGCTACAGCTAAACCCTTTTGAGGTCTCCTTTCATCTTTTCCTCCAGCTGTTTTACACCAATGACTGTGTCTGCCAATTTCTTCAACACCAACTGGGAAACACAGGACCCAGGTGCTCAGAAACAGGACATGGGAACCCAAGGAGTTCTCAAGTCCAGGTTCCCTGATCATGGCATGACTTTCTGACTCTAAAATTGCTGCAGCTATGCTTACTTGTTCAATATACCAAGAAACTATGGTAGGTACTAGGGAAACAAAGATAAGTAAGATCCATAAATGAGGGTAAATGTATAACTAAAGAGCTATAATAATTATAATTAAGTGCTAAAAATAAACATGTGTACAAGGAGTTAAGTAGCACAGGAAAAAAGCAAGGATGCAAATTTGCCAGAGGTGGGAGAAGGGAAGGAAGGGCTTTCCAAAGGAGATGAGATTTGAGCTGGAGGTTTAGAGAATGAATAGGAGTTCTCCAGGAAGACTAGAGTTAAAAACCATTGCAGAGGAGAGAGGTAGCATCAGGAATGAAGGGAGGAGATAGCACGTGGAATAAATTTTGGGGTCACCTTTCTGGCTTGATCTTCTCTGGTCCCTTCTTTTCTTAGAGGTATAGTTTCCTCCAGACCTTATCTCCTCTGAGTATATGTCTAAATGCTCTACGGTCAGACTGACCTAAATTTTCCTCATTGTTACAATGAGAGGTTTTCTTTTCTGCACTCATGGGCTGAAATGTAGTCAGACAGTGAATGAGAATATTAGCATATCCAGAATGGTTGTGGTACCCTTGTTCATTTAGCACTTTGTTAGTCTTTTACAGCAGTGTTTTTCAAGTTTGTTTAACTTAAGGCAGCAATTCTCAAGCTCAGAAGCACACTGGAATCTCCCAGGGAACTTTTAAAAATACTGATGCCTGGGTCCGCCCCCAGGGATTCTAATTTAATTGGTCTGGAGTGCAGCCTGGCATCGAGATGTTTTAAAGCCCCCAGGTGATCCTGATGTGCAGCCAAAGAATCACTGCTCCAGAATGACTTGCAGGTTTCTATCTTCCCTAGTAAACCAAGGGCTCTGGGAGAAGGGTGTTATTCTTCTCTGCACACCTCACAGCTTCCGCTGAAGTTCTTTACTTTAATAATTGCTTATTAAATATTTACTGAATCAAATCCATAAGGACTGAGAACTGAGATAAATGACTCCCGCTCTATGAGGCTCTGCTAGGAGAACTAAATGCAGAGATAGAAAATCATTGTATGGAGCTGAGGCATTGGTGACCGTGGAGACAGGGGAAAGCATGGCTCTTGAGAAGAGCAGGGCAGTTGAGACTGAAATCACCCAGGTCAATTGCTACATGAAATAGAACCTTCATCTAAAGGAGAGTGAAGTTAACAGAGATATCCTCAAACAGACTCCTGCACCCGCCTCCCAGCAAAAAGTACTCTCCCATGTTATAACTAAATTCTAGGACCCTATGGTAAAGTTTCAAAAAGGTTTCCCCTGGTCAATTAATTTGGAAGTAAGTCTTCAGATTAGTGTCTGAAATACAAAGATTGCTTAATTAGTAATTATGTTCACAGCCATCCATATGTAGCAATTTTAGGAGTGACAGGAAAGACTTTACTCCTTTTCTGCTCAACCTACCTATTCCCTACCAATTCTGAGACTGCTGTGTGGCACACTCCTTTGGGGTGAGGTATTGAAGTCCTTTCTTAATAAAATATATTTCTATATATTAATCTAAGAGAAGAAGAATTCATTTATCAGGTTATCTACTTGTCATCCATCTAGGTTCCAAGAGGTGTATTTTAGTACATGGGTCGGGAAAATGGTGGATAGATTGAAATACTATAGAATTGGGATCTTACCCATAGGATACTGACTGGATGGGCCACTGTAGTGATGGAGTCCTGGGGAGCCTGGAGGGGGGAAAATATGTCATATCATTTTGTATTTTAATTTTTACTTTGCATGTTTGTCTCCCGCATTAGGTTATGAATTCCTTGACGGAAGGGACTATGTCTTTAGCTCTACATCCCTGGGGTGCATAGATAATAACAAAGATTTTTTGAATAAATAAATGTATAGATATGTTAATAAAAATAACCCAATACTTGGAAATACTGTAAAAGAAAGTACAGTATACCTTTTTATTGTCATGCTGGGGCAATGTTAAATGAGCCTCCTCAAGAATTATTGAATTCTCTGGGAGAATGTACCTATGTTTGATTTTGCTTTTCACTAATTCATTAGAGCCCAGACACTGTGAAGTTACATGTTAAGCCTGCAGATTTCTGTCTAGCAGGAAAAAATAGTCCCATAGATTATGGTCTTATAGTACATTAACCAGTTCTGTGTCTACCCAGCAATCTAGGCAGGTCTATGTCACATGGGTCACCCTGAGTCAAAAATCGACTCAACAGCACCTAACAACAGTAATCTGTGCAAACATTCTTTGATTTTCCTCAATGCCTATAAATATCCATTTTCTCAAATGCTCCTGGAACTAGGCTTACTATTCCATTGGTTCCTTCAGTGATAAGTTAATAGATCTTTGACACATGTTCATTCTATATTTGTATCACAGTTATGATTTTTAACTTTGATGGATGGATGAAAAAAAGAGATGATTGGAACCCAATGAGAAGGAGGAAGAGGAACAGAGGGGCACAGAGGACAACTCTGTTTAATTTATAGTTCTGCCAGAAGTTGCTCCCGGCTAAGCATATCAACTGCTCATTAGGTTTCTCCTAGATTCAAAAAACCCTAACGCTAATCTGCTGTGTAAACTTTCATCAAAAATACAAAAAAACAAAAAACTACCCTCACAACTGATTTATTTTCCTTCCTGAAATTATAAATGTTCACAAAAATTCTCACAATGTAGAAAGATCATTTCTATTTCTGTAATTTACTCAAAAATTTAATATTATATTAGAACTTTTATAATATTAAATTTTCACATGGTTTGGTTGAGGGAAAACAGAAACATTTCCTATAGAATGGGAAGTGTCTCTTGG